GGCATCTTTTGGTTTTGTACAAATAATATCTCAGAAACACTCGGGTTAGACAGGAACATGATACTAGCAGTAGTTTCATTTTACTTTTACAAGCTTCTTAAAACAATTGTTGAGCTAGCTAACGTGCTCATTTCTAAATTCAATTTCTTGTTCTAGCTTTCTGTTATGTTTCGTAAAAAAGTAGTCTTGATTATCCCGACCTGTCAATCAGAAAATGAAATGGGGTTTAACGTCCTACTGTTTTGCTCCGAACTGGGCTAATGAAGACGGGACTTGTCAATCAGCCCTAGAATGGTTGATAGACTGGTTAAGCGAGACTAATTTCAAAACAAGGGCACGTAACCTATCTTTTACTCAAAAGTGTCTGGATGTTATGGACGACACATGGAACCAGTTTTCAGTCTATTATTTATACATGATTAATGGTCATAGCTTATTAAGTACAACATGATCGTTTATTTAGTGACTATAATTGTGTGAAACTGATTTGAGGCTTGGCATATATATAAATATTGTGGCGAAATTGTCGAGATATATGGAGATATTTATTTATGGTGGGTCACCCTACCCCTGGGTTAACCTATGGGGGAGACACGTTTTCAAGTTATCCGCCCTTGATGGTTGTGCTATTTTTATCGACCAATCTCATAAATCGTTAATTGCAAAGGAAGTTGGCAAAGGGAAGTAACTCTCAACGGACAAGGCTAGGAGTTAACCTAAATGAGAGAAGTCCAAATTATTCTAAATGCGTGTTATTAACAACTAATTATATAATGTTATATTAATGAAGACCGTGCGTTTATGTATGTTCAAGAATTTTATTGAGAATCGTTCGTTCGTTCGTGGAATTTTACGTCCACCTGATATCGCAGACAAGTTATGGTGAATCAAATTGCCAAGTATATGTTCAATAATAATAAACATAACAGAATGAAACATTTAGACAAAGAACGAATAGTAATAATAATAACAAAAGTCAAACATATAGAAATCAGCGAAACATACTACAGATGTTGATAATACAATTAAATATAAATGAATTAGAAATATATACATTACTTACATAAATCATTCAGTATCTGGACATGAATATGGTTATCTACCCTTATAAAAACGAAGGCGAAACGACAGGTTTGTAAACTGTTTTTTTGATTGGTTCGTAGACTAAAGCTACAATCAAGGCCAGGGCAGATAATTTGAAATCGTGGAAACCTATGGATTAACCCAGGGTATAGTTGAGTAGAACGGAATGAGTACACTGGGGATACCGAGGATGGGCACTATTGGGCCTTCGTATGATTGAACTTTATATATAAGAAATGATTACACAACTTTGACTCGTGCCAGCAGTCAACACTACAATATTGCAGCAAAGTGAACTTAAGAATATCGGATGGTTAGTTATTATTAATACAATTTTTGAGGAATGAAGATAGTAGTTTTCAATTTGTGAAAAATATTCGAAAGAGTACAAGCGAACGCAGGATTATTATTTCTACTAGTCTTATAACTTATTTTCATAAAAGTAATTTGGTATTGCCATATACATGTATCATGATATTTTATACACCCACATTTTATACAGGGCTTGTACGAGTGGGAACTCGGGACCGCGCATCTGTCATTAAACTTATTCAACTTTGAGACGTGTTCCCATAATAAAGAACTAAATCATAAAGTAAACAACTTTTCTGAAACAACTAAGATACAGAAAATTCAGTGAACAAATGCTAGCTTTGAACAATAATACGTTATCTATAAATATATGTACAGCGAAATAGTCTGCTTTACGCGCCATATACTCATACTCCCCGCAGCGTTTCGTTTGATTAGAGCTACTCCCACTTAACACTGCTGTAAAGGAAGCAAAGTTTTGTTCCAAATTATGACTGGTCAATAGTCCGATCAACAACCAATAGCTAACTGCGTAACAATATCATTACGCTTCAGAGCTTTAAATTGGACCAAATAATACGTTACGTCATGACTCACGATTTTATTATACCCAATTAACCAGTGCATAGCAGAATATTGCAGAAAAGCTAACTGCGTGAAAACGAGGCTATAAACACGGATACAATATAAACAATACTGTTTGGAGACGAACAATAATTTCACCGTTTTTAATACCTTAAATCACCGTCCAAAGTTTTAGGGAAGACACCAGATTAAACGAAGGGCTGTCATGCTGCTGTACTTGGGATAGATTTGATTGAACAGGAGGAATAGACACACTCCCTCAAAAGCTCAAGTATCAGAAGCCAATCCAGCAATGGCCAGAGAGGGATTTCCTCCATCCATTGCTTCAGGAATATGCATATATTGCATCTTTGTTGACATTAATTGATTTCTTTGATTTCCCATTTTTGAAGGGTTAGCGCTAAATGATAAGGCCATCTCAATTTGTCGCTAATCCCAACCCTAACCCTAACCCTAGCCCCAATGCTTGCCCAACCCTAACCTACAATCTCGCCAACAATCACGTGCCCTAACCTTATTTACATCTTAGCGACCTTGACCAAAATTAAGCTGAAATTAACAAATAGATTTAGCCATTTTTGAAGGGCATATAGCTCTTTTCTCGGATTATTGAAATAGACGAAAATTGGCCAAAAGCACAATGTCAATATAAATGTAGATCTAATGGCCGTATTATATTATCTCGTGAGCGTGAAACACGCTACTGTTTTTAATGTAATTGTGTGACCAACCTTTCCGTCGGTCCATCCATCAACAACTGGCCTGTGAACGCCATAGATGATGCACATTTTTGGGGATTCTTTTCACATGTATGCCCCTTTTCAGTGTTATGCCCGTTTTCCTTAAACCTTGTGAATGTGATAGAGGCTCTAGTTTGTAACGGATGTTTTTTTTCAGATTTGGTAGGAAGAGTTGATGTAATGAGTGGATGAATTCTATTGATGTTCAGTGTGCCGCGACTTTTTATTATGAGAAGACAAACCTTATCGATATTCAGTGTTCTCCGACTTTGCTTTCGGGGGTTTGCATAACCTTATGAACACGATATAGACTGTAGTTTTAAGTGGGAAGCATTGGGATCATACGTGGGTGAACCCAGTTGATTTTCAGCGTTACACCTCTTTGCCGAAAATCTTGTGAACGCGATAGAGGCTATAATTAACGGATTTGTGTAAGATTTCGTGGGAAACACTAGGGTCATGTGAGGGGAAACCCTAGAACCCTAGCATTGTTCAACGTTCTGCGACTTTCCATTCCGGAGTTATCCCCTGTTGCCCAATGCTTTAGTTTTTAACGGATTTTTTTTCCAATTTGCTGGGAGACATTGTAGTCATGAGAGGATTGATCTTATCGATGTTCAGTATTCTGCGATCTTTCGTTCGAGAGTTATCCCACTTTGCCAAAAACCTTGTGGGCGCGATAGAGGCAATAGTTTTTAACGGATCTTTCAAATTTGCCGGGAAACATTTGAGTCATGAGGGGACGAACCCTATCAAAATAAAGTATTCTGCGACTTTCCGTCACGGAGTTATCTCCCCTTTTATGACAGCCTCGTGAACGCGATAAAGGCGACATTTTTAACGGAAGTGTTTCAATTTTGGTAGGGTGAACCCTAGTAATATTCAACGTTCTATGACTTTCCATTCCCGAGTTACCCCCCCCCCCCCCCTGCCAAAAACCTTGTGGGCGCGGTAGATGCTGTACATAGCAAAATTTAATGATGTCCTTTTACTTGTTACACATAGCTGCTGTGTAGGCATATTGTAACTTATGGATTATGGCCCCTGATGGTCACTCTAGAGACCAGAATTTTTATCCGATTTTGATAAAACTTGAAATATGTTTATATCCCAAAGATCCCAGTTCCTTTTGATATTCGCACTTTTCAGACCATAATATACTGGATTGTGGCCCCTGACTGTACAAAAAAGAACGTTTTTTCTTCAAATATGATGCGACGCATTGAGGTTATGAGAGGACGAATCCAAACGATAATCGCCGTTGCGAGGCTACAGTTTTTATACGCCCAATTTGTTTGTGGACAATCGACAGGTCACAAATTATATCCGATTTTTACGAAACTTGAAATATAGGTTTATCACCGAAAGATCTCGGTTCCTTTCCAAATTGGCATGTATCGGGCCGTAAGTTCATGGATTATTGCCCCTGGTGGTACGAAAAATTACGTTTTTATCTTGTGGACTCTCTAGATGTCACAATTTTTATCTGATTTTGATGAAACTTGAAACGTACGTTTATAACCCAAAGATCTTGGATCCTTTTGATAATCGAGCATTTCGGACCGTAACTTCCGTGAATATGGCCCCTGATTGTACGCAAAATCGCGTGTTTAGCTTAGCTTATGGTCTAGAGGTCACAATTTTTATCCGATATAAAAAAACAACCCTTTTACATATATCACACCCTAATGATGGTTGAGTTCGAATTTCGTCAAAATTGGACCGAAAATAGCCGACAAAATGGCTGCTCCATGTACGGAAATAGTGTAAAAGTATGTAATACCAAGGTTGTAGACCCTCTAGAAGTCCCAATTGTTATCAGATTTTAATGAAACTTAAAATATATGTTTATATCCAAAAGATCTCCTGCCGATATTCGTGCATATCAGACCGTAACTTCCTGGATTGTGGCCCCTAGTTGTCCAAAAAATCGCATTTTTAAAGCTTGTGCTCTGTGGGCATATCTTGCATGGCAACCGCTGGTTAAAGGGTATTTTTCAGAATTGGCAAGAAGCATTAGGATAATTTAGAGGACGAAATCTATCGATATTCAGCTTTACACAACCATCCGCCCCAAAGATTTTCAAATTCGGTGTGAAGCATTGGCGCCCTTCGTCTGAATGAAGGGTAGACAGGAAAAACACGGAGATCTAGTCCTAATTTACCTGTATATATCATGACAGTACGCCATTAAAACTGGTAAAGTTATGTACCCAAGAACACGTGATTTTGATTTTTAAACCACAAATATTTATATCTTATTCGCTTACTCTAATTCAGGGAGTTCAGCTATGTTTAAAGGAAATGGTATTTGTTTATGGAATAACTCTTCTCCTTGGTAAGTGGATACAATTCGGTCTTTGATACATTATATACATGTAGTTAAGAAACAGTATTACTAATGGTGTTCGTGAAGAGGGTCACGTGGATAATTTTAACTACCGAGCGAAAATTAGTCAGTATTACCACTGGTTGACGGAATCTTAGATTAGTGAACTTTGATCCCAATTATTTAATTCCAACCGTTTCTCACCTTGGTATTATATCTACTGAAAGAGAATCGGTTTCAAACGAGTTATTTGCCCCTGAGTTAGAAATTGGAATCAGACCAGTTATTTCATAATCTCGCTTACGAACATGGACGTAACAGACTTTAGTCATTATACTTCGCCATAGCTTAATGTTATTTTTGATATATTTTCCACGTTACAGGTGCCTTTGAATAAAATGGCCGCTCTATGTACGCAAAAAGTATTAAAGTATGAAAATATCAAGGTTGTGGACCCTCTAGAGGTCACAATTTTAATCCGATTTTGATGAAACTTAAGACACGTGTTTATGTCCCAAAGATCTCGATTTCTGTCTATATTCGCGCATATCGGACGGTAAGAGCCTGGATTATGGTCCCTGAGTGTACGAAAACATCGCGATTTCAGCTTGTGGACCATCTGTAGCTCACAATTTTTATCTGATTTTAAAAATTTCGTAAAAATCGGATCGAAACTACCCGACAAAATTTCCGGACCTTGAACACAAATAATGTATGTAATACCAAGGTTGTGGACCCGCTAGAGGTCAAAATATTTGTCCGATTTTGATGAAACTAGAAATATATCTTTATATCCCAAAGATCTCGGTTCCTTTCGATATTCGCGCATATCGGGTCGTGACTTCCTGTCCTCGATAATGCCCCTTGATTGTATAAAAAATACAGTTTTTAGCTTGTGGACCCTCTAGAGGTCACAACTGTTATCAGATTTAAAAAAAAACGTTTAAATATACTAGTGTTACAACCTAAAGACGGGTCAGTTCGAATTTCGTGAAAATCAGACCGAAACTGCCCGATAAATTGACCCCTCCTTGTACGCAAATAGTGTAAAAGTTGTAATACTAAGGTTGTTGACCCGCTAGAGGTCACAATTTTTGTCCGATTTTGATGAATCTGGAAATATATGTTAATATCCCAGAGATTTCTATTCCTTTTGATATTCGCGCATATCGGACCATAACTTTCTGGATTATGTCCCCTGATTGTACAAAATCGCCCTTTTAGCTTGTTGTCTGTCCATCCGTTACAAAATGTAGGCTCATCTTGCGTGGCAACCGTTTGTTCTAGCAAGATTGGGTATCTATACTTTCATATACACCAAATTTGCCATACTTTTATTGGAAATAAAAACGCAATAAATACTTTCGGGACAATGTATCTTTAATGTCCGAAATGATCAGTGGGCTTTTCTAGAGACTCACACATCTGAAGGCTTTCTTCGTAGCATATTAATTACCAAAGAAAAACGATGATTGTTTGGTCATTGTATTTCGTATGAGAAGTCAATTAACTGCACAATATGAGGAGTATGTCCATATATTGCTTATAAGAAAATATATTACTTGACGATTGCTCTGATTGATTTTATTTTTGTTGGTTGTTTTTAAAAAGTTAAAAACTGCATGGGGACTTGGTAACGACGGGGTGATTGCATTGTGACGTAGCTCCTCTCCAGATATTATTATATACGAATATATTTTAACCTTCAATGCCTACCCATAGTAAAGTTGGGTGTATATAACCATTACATCCCACTTCTACTCGTTGCCACTGGCAACCTTTGATAAAACTGTCCTGTTTATTTGCAATACATGCATAAAAGTATCCGTGTATCAGAAATGTACAGAAAGAGTACTGTTCATTTCTGATACACGGATACTTTTATACCGTTTTATATACCTATCAAGCAATAAGTAGCGGACGTTTAGTTTTATATATTTTTTGATAATAGCAAATTAGGCTATTCTAAATTTTTAGTAGAAAAGATGCACTTTGCCCGTATTTTTTTAAAACATTGTGATATATTAAGGTCATACATTCGAATACCGGCAAATTCACCACTTTGCGAAAATTAAATATATAAATTATTCGAATGACTTGATATTAATACACAGTGGGCATTTTTATTAGGCACAGTTAGCTTGCTTGATAAAGAATATGCCGTAGTTTAAATGATCGTTTTCTGTCCCCAACAAGACTGTTTTTATACGCCCACATTTTCATGTGAACGTATTATGCTGAACTTGGTTATAAAGTGCGGAAAATGTGTAGGGAGAAGAAATTTGATAAAACGTGGGTACGTGATGGTATCATCTTTGTCAAAACAACACCAGGAAGAGTTGTGCTTATCAAGTCCCAAAGTGAATTTCAATCTCTTGTTGAAGATACCAGTCTAAAGTTTACAACACCTCGTGAAATAAAACAACATTCTGCAGAAATAAACCAGTCAATAAATGAATCTTTTGAATATCAGGATGTCGTCGACATTCTTCACTGTTTAAAGGGTAAAATGGCCTCAGGACCAGACAAAATTAATAATGTTATTTTAAAAGATGTGTCAAAGTCTCTTGCTTTCCCACTGTTAAGATTATTCAATCTGCTTATATCGAAATCCATCTTCCCCGATTGTTGGAAATTGGCACGCGTTATACAAATTTTTGAAAAAGGCGACAGACATGTATGCTCTAACTACAGATTAATATTACTACTAAGTACCTTGGGTAAAGTTTTTGAAAAAATAATACATAAGCATATTTATTATTAATAATGATTCCTCAGCTTTATATATATTCGGGCGTACCCCAGGGGTCCGTACTGGGACCCCTCCTTTTTCTAATTTTCATTAACGATATTACAAATGAAATTATCTCCCGACTAAAATTGTTCGCAGATGATACTTCTTCATTAATTTTGACACCCTTAATACTTTAAATAATGATCTAAAGAAAATTCACGATTGGTCAGAAAAGTTGAAGGTCGAATTCAACCCAGACAAAACTATCAGTCTTACTAAGATTATTGGCAGAAGATACTAAGTCTTCTTCGTTATTTTTGGTTATAGATAATCCCCCGACACCCTTAATACTTTGAATAATGATCTAAAGAAAATTCACTATTGGTCAAAAGTTGAAGGTTGAATTCAACCCAGACAAAACTATCAGTCTTACATTTAGTAAAAAAAACCAACCCAACTTTGCTTGTCGCTTCTTTTAATGATATCCCTTTATATGATGCAAATACCCATAAACATTTAGGTGTTATTTTTAACAAACATTGTAAATGGGACAATCACGTGGATTTTTTTAATTAGTTAAACCTCAATCATGGTCGACTGTCTGAGAAGTTTGAAATTTAGACTATCGCGTAAATCATTGAGTATTTTGTATAATTCTTTTATTCTTTCTATTTTTCATTACGCTGATATAGTCTGGAATAATACTACTGAAATAAATTCACAAAAATTAGAAAAGCTACACTTTTGTGGACCCTCTAGAGATCACAATTTTTATCCGATTTTGATGAAACTTTAAACATATCTTTATATCCCAAAGATCTCAGCCCTGTTCGATCTTTGCGCATTCAGACCATAACTTTCTGGATTATTGCCCCTGATTGTACAAAAAAATCGCGTTTGATTTTAGCTTGTTCTCAATCCATCTCTTGCAAAGTGTGGCCGTATCCTACCTGGCAGCCGCTGGTTTATTAGTAAATTATTGTGGATTTGGGTCGATTTGTGCGTGTTTGGGTAAATTGTGCTGTTCTTTGTAATCAGCGAGAAGTCGAGCGCGAGAACGCGAGGATTTTGAAAGGCGTGAAGTCGAGGTAGGAGAAGTCGAGGTTAAAATGATCTCGTGTTCTCCATGCGAAATCCTTGCATTCTCGCCCTGTTTTCTCGCGTGCGTGCATGCGAATGGTTAACTCGTGCTCGTTTGATCACAAGGTCTATCATTGAGTCAAGTGGCGTGGTTTTGAATCATCGCTTGTACGTGACAAGGAGTTGGGTCGCCTGTCCAACCTCGTGGGTTTTCTCTGGGTCCTCCGATTTCCTTCATGTGCTAAAGACCCCTACGCGCTAACGAATTATTGAAATAAAATTGAACCATATGTTAGTCCCGAAATGACCTAGTTTGTGTCGAGTGGACGTTACCCCCCCCCTCTCTCTCTCTCTCTCTCTCTCTCTCTCTCTATCTCGTGTTATGACCCTCGACCTATTGAGTTTATGCCCTCGACTTTCTGACTTCGACTTCAAGAAGGATTCCATATCTTTCAAATTTGAAGTGAAGCATTAAGTTATGGGAGGTTAAATCCTATTAATATTCAGAGTTGTGCGATCTTACTCCCTCTTCTCCGAAAACCTGGTTAACGGATTTTTGAAGAGTTGGGGTTAATACCTTATTTGTCCGGAAATGTTCGTGAACACGATAGAAATTAGAATTCTTGAAAGCTCCTCCTTAATAAATCAAGTTTTCCATTTGTATAACCTGCTGTGTTGGCGTATTATATTATATTATAGATAGTGCCCGAAGTATTGGACCATACTCAACAGCAATAACGGAAAATGCATCCACATCACCGACCATTATTACAACCGGCATTACCAACCAGGAACCAACTACAACATCGACTGATATTAAAAGTAATTAAATTGTTTGATTCATTATTAAAAGTCAAAACTTCTTGTCTTTCAGCCTTTAATGTTTCATAAAGCCGCTGATCGTTATTTGCATTTTTCTGATAACATCAATTTATACGGTTAATGGACGCTAAAATGTAATAACATCTTTTCTTTAACATTGTATTAAGATAATCATTTTAAAATATCAACAGTAGACAATTTCCCGGCTTGTATTTTGATCTGACCCAAAAGAGGCCCGTCAACAAATTTGATAGAAGATTATAGGTGGCCCAGTCTTGTTTTGACCCCGTTGAGGTCGATGCCGAATGTTGACAATTTTTAAGTTCGTCATATCTTTGTAAATACTGAACGGAATAGAACCTTTTTTTGGTCTGATATTTGTTTTTAACTTTCACATTATTGTAGTTTGCAGGGGATTAAAAGTCCCATAAATGACGACAAGAGACTTTAAAGATTTATAGTATAAACTAGTATACTAATGTATTTTATGTTCATTATTAAACATGTTTTTTGTTTCCTTTGCAATTTCTCTTTCAGAACTATTTTCATTTGGGCTGAACACTAAAGACAACCGATTGAAACATAAAGATGGTGCCTTCAGCCCAAAAGTAAAAGTTCAAGCTGGATTTTCTTGTGGGTGTTCCAGATTTAAGAAGCTTTTTGTGAGTAAAACGAGTTTTGTGATTGTGTAACCTCTGAATACATTGTTTTTATAATGACAATTGTGAAAGAAAGAATTTAGGATTATCCTCGGTCATCCAGAACCTCCTAGTCTTCGAGGTCGATTGTCAACACTTGCTTAAAAGTTCAATTGCCCATGTGTAACCGGGAGTTTTTTTATGTGGTTGATTATCCAGAAAATTTCGCCAAATCAAGTAATAGTCACGACCCTTCCCGAAATAAACCCCATAATTGATGCATTATTATAAACAAACACGAATGTGACGACGAATTAAGATTTTAATCTAAATAAAAAAAACATAGGTGTGGTCCATCAAGAGATAAATTTTACAATAAATAAATGACAGTGTTGAATATTGAACAGGCAATCCAAAAAGATTTTCTAAAATGTCAATTCTTAAATTAAAACATACATTATGCAAGAGCTAAATCTGCCTATTGCAGGTCTTTCTTTAGGCCTGAAATGTTATCTAAATTATTACGTAGGCATTAATTAACTTATCCAGACCATAATCAACTCTCGGTGTCGTCGCTAGCCTGCGATGTTTATTGGATTAGGTTCCGATTTGCTGTTTCACTTCCATTCATAATTTAATCATGAAATGGATAATCGTGTCGTGTTTTTTTTTAGTAATGATGATCGAGGCTAGGCCGAAAATTCAATGGCTAAAACCTCGGTTCAGAGTGGATCAATTTGACTGAAATATTCCGCAAATTCACTTTACATTATCTAGTTTTTAATTATTATAGTGAGAACTGCCAGCTTTTATCTAATCTCCCATAATGTATCTTTAATTTCATGGGCGTCAACATCTTGTTTTAGGGCTAATTACCTCCCTTAGATTGTGTTCACGATAAGGTAAAAGACCGCATAATCTAGCCAAAGACCTAGTTATTCTCAAATGTTGACAAGCCATCCAGTACAAAGGATTGGAGGACAGTGGGAACTTACAGGGGAGTGACCCGTCGATTGTTTTATATACGCCCATGTGTTAATTGGGTATGGTTTTCTTTTTCCATTTTTAGTGGTGAAAATCTGAAGTTCCCACGCTTGAATGTAAAAATATGTACACAATCTGTTGATTCAAATAATAATCGGGCAAACATTCGAATTTCGAAAAAGTGTCAGTACGGATCATATCAGATTTGTCCAAAGAATCCAAAAATAAAATCCGACGGAAATCCCTTCAGAAAGATATGGACAATCTATGACCAATTTAGGCCCTAACCTAAAAACACTCCCGCTTTATCATAACTGAACAGATTTATGATTTTTTATGATGACAGAATGTTTACACTATGCATAGATATGACTAGCAAGTTTGTCTAAAATATATATAGCCAGTCTTGTTGCTATTCATAAATATATGAATATTGAAAGAAAAAAAAAATAAAGAAAAATAAATCCCAGGGACCAACACATGAATACTTAAATGTCAATGACCCCAAGACAAATTTCGGATAACAGTGGAGACAAAACCTTTTGCTGCGAACTAATGATTTAACAAACTATGCATAAATAGTGGCATAAAATACGACCCAGGAGCCAAATGAGAATTAATCAAAATATTGAATCCAATAGGTTTGAGGTCTACAACACATATTTTTCCCCTAGATCATTTTGGAAAAATATCACTGAACAAAAAGTTGAACAAATCTTGCTTAAGACTGGTTTAAAGGTGACAATGGTCAATCTAAAGAGAGAGAGAAATGGGGTTTAACGTCCACTCGACACAAACTAGGTCATTTTGGGACTAACATATGGTTTTTAATTTTATTTCAATAATTCGCTTGCGCGTAGGGGTCTTTAGCAGTGGGGAAAACCCACGAGGTTGGACAGTGGTCAACTTAAAGGACACTAATTAGTGACTGTAATTAAAATTTAGAGTCCATAACTGAAACAAAGCCTAAAGGCTAGCTAACCAAGTCAGGAAACCAAAAATCTAACTTAAGAGCGACAAAAGTTGTACAAACCTGGCTTAAGACTGGTTCATGGGTGAAAAAGGTCAGAGGTCACATAATGACGTTACAGTGGATTTGATTAAATTGTCTTGTCCGAGATTATTTTTCTCTCTGATACCATTTCTATGAGCTTCACTGCACAAAATGACTGCTTAAGAGCATAAAATGTTGTACTAATGCTACTTAAGAGCTAATTAATTAGCACTAATTTGTGGCCGTAAATAAAATTTAGAGCCCATAGCTGAAATAAGCCTAAAAGCTAGCTAAATAAGTCATGAAGCCAAATATATCAATTAAGAGCGACAATAGTTGAACAAATTTGGCTAGACTGGTGAAAAAGGTCATATTTTGGGCCACATTATGACCAATCAACCAATCAAATTGCTTATCTCTGCTTGCCCTAAAGAGACGACAAAAAACTATGCGATGAATCATTTCTTATAGGAAATGAAAAGCAAAAAGTGTTAATTTTTTCCAATTATTCTAAATATTGAGAATGGAAGTATAGAACTGGATAACTCTCCTTAACATGGAAATATTAGTTTTACATTTAATTTGTGTAATGTGGTCGGAGTTACGTAGGTTATAAGGGTTGTTGGAAGAGGTTATTGGCGGAATAAGACTACAAAGATAATTGGGAGCTATGTTATTTACAATTTTGTAAAACATTATTAATTTATGAGCCTGGCGCCGCACTGATAAAGATGAGAATCCGGATTCAGTATAAAGTGTGTTATGGGAGGTTCCACGAGGCAGGCCAGTTATGGTTCGTAACGCGTCTAAGTGTAGCTTTTCTAATTTTTGTGAATTTATTTCAGTAGTATTATTCCAGACTATATCAGCGTAATGAAAAATAGAAAGAATAAAAGAATTATACAAAATACTCAATTTATTTCAGTAGTATTATTCCAGACTATATCAGCGTAATCAAAAATAGAAATAATAAAAGAATTATACAAAATACTCAATGATTTACGCGATAGTCTAAATTTCAAACTTCACAGACAGTCGACCATGATTGAGGTTTATCTAATTAAAAAATCCACGTGATTGTCCAATTTACAATGTTTATTAAAAATAACACCTAAATGTTTATGGGTATTTGCATCATATAAAGGGATATCATTAAAAGAAGCGACAAGCAAAGTTGGGTTGTTTTTTCTACTAAATGTAAGACTGATAGTTTTGTCTGGGTTGAATTCGACCTTCAACTTTTCTGACCAATCGGGAATTTTCATTAGATCATTATTCAAAGTATTAAGGGTGTCGGGGGATTATCTATAACCAAAAAAAAAACGAAAAAGACTTAGTATCATCTGCGAGTAATCTTAGTCGGGAGATAATTTCATTTGTAATATCGTTAATGAAAATTAGAAAAAGGAGGGATCCTAGTACGGACCCCTCTGGTACGCCCGAATATATATTTTCGAAAGCTGAGGAATCATTATTAATAATAAATATGCTTATATATTATTTTTTCAAAAACTTTACCCAAGGTACTTTGTAGTAATATTAATCTGTAGTTAGAGCATACATGTATATCGCCTTTTTCAAAAATTTGTATAATGCGTGCCAATTTCCAACAATCGGGGAAGATGGATTTCGATATAAGCAGATTGAATAATATAACAGTGGGAAAGCAAGAGACTTTGACAAATTTTTTAAAATAACATTATTAATTTTGTCTGGTCCTGAGGTCCTTTTACCCTTTAAACAGTGAAGAATGTCGACGACATCCTGATATTCAATAGAAAGCGGTTCAATGTCAGTATCGAGTAATGTTAGTTCTGGGAGTCGGTAGTCCGTTTCATCAGGCAAAAGTGATTAGTTTACTAAATAGTTATTTAAAAGCTCGGCTTTGTCTTTATTTTTGTATTTCATGGTATTTCCAGATTTCAGAGGGGGGGGGATATCTTTAATAGAATTGCCGTTTCTAAATGAAAAAAATGCGTACAACTTTCCACCAGTCAGAATCATTAAATGTGTCTGTATTAATATTTGATTCGATCTTTTCGTAATAAGACCGTTTTGACTTTGGAACCTCTTGTATTACATAGCTTCTGTATTTCCTAAACTCTGTCCAATCAGAAGGTAATTATGTTATTTGGCTTTACCGTGGATTATGTTTCTCTTGCGAATAATATGACGTATATGACAATTCATCCATAGATTATCACGAGGTCGTTTAGTAACTGTCTTATTTGAAACATATTTTGAAATGATTTTAAGTAGTTTCCCTTAAAACGTTTTAGTTATAATATTCAAATTAGTATCTTCATTAAAAATCTGATTCCAATTAAAATCTA